AAATGCATTTCCATTGCATACTCTAGAGGGCAGCATTGTAAATTTAAAGAAATCTCAAGATCTACCAGTTTACCCAGGCAAACAGAAATGACCAGCAGCATGACAAATTATAGTTTACATTCATTGTACCTTGGGTTAACAGAGAAATGTAAGTTGACAGAAAAAATTAGATTGCATACTTTTAGGCATGCTCAATTAAAAAATAAAGTGACTCTGTTACCTTTAAGCGAACCCATCCTGCTACTCATTTCTCTTCGCCTGCTGTGAAAAAAAAAACACAATTTTTACCATTTCAAATCGTTTATTTTATCGTAGTTACAAATTTCAGTACATTGTTGCTTATAGAGAAAAATATATTATATAAATATGCATATACATATATCATATTACTATATCATAATATTAAACAGCTCTCGTATGTTTCTATCTAGTATATATCGGGAATCTGAAAGAAATAGAAATATATTTATTAGACTATTATAAATTTAATAAAAACTGATTGTATTACATACCCACTCTCCTTATCAACGTCAACTCTTTGCAATCATCTGCACAATCGACCTGCAATCAAGAAAGAGTTAAATAAATATGTTTAGTTGATCAGCTACAATACTTTGGCTTATGTCAATAGGCTTTCGATTCGTTTATTGTGCGCAAATATGAATTTTTCGCGAACAAATAAACTTGTGACTTGTGTGTGCACAGCATGAGCACACATATGTATACATATGTATGCATATATGTACATACATATACATTGAATTCTGTGTACCCCTTTATGCTGCAGCTAAGCTTAAGCTGAGCTGCGTGGCAAGAGCCTGAGGCGAAAGGAACGAACGAGCGAGCGACCAATTTGCAACTTACCGCAAAGGAAATGAGTTTCTTCTTTCTACTGGGTGGCAATAAGCATAATAATAACCAGGTACATGTAGAGCAGCAGCAGCAGCAGCATCAGCTTCATGCTCAACGCTCAAAGCGTTAAGTGGCTTTTGTGTAATCTGCATGACAATAAGGCATATGCCACGTGCTGAGCGCGTTCGCCGAGTGGGCTGTGCTGCTCACCTTTTTAGCCAGAGCGCGTGCCACATTTTGGGCCAACAACTTGTCGGCCAAACTAAAAATTTATAAACACATACAACAGTTGCCGCTCAAGGACATGTTAGGTGCGCTGTTTAAAGCCCCACAACGCGGGCAATTAATAAACACTGGCATAACATGTGCCAGTTGCATGGGGCGTATACGCAATGTTGGCTGTGGCACGTGCCGCATATAATGAGTAGCAGCAACTGGCACGTGTGCCACATGTGTATTTGTATCTGTCTGCGTATGCATGTGTGTGTGTGTGAGGTGCTTGCCTGCCTATCACAGTAATTCGCATTAATCATTTTGACAGCCAGCTTAAAAAAATGCATTAAATATCGCAAAAAAAAGAAAATAAATCCGTAATATTAATTGATTAATTAAAAGAGCCCTGCTCACAATTAATTAAAATCGTGTAAATATGTTTGTTAATAAATATTGATAAATAAATATAGTTACATTTCATTAATTACTTGCAGCACTCGATTGGGTCAGTTCTGCTCTGTTCGCTTTGCAGGTAAAACTCTATAAAAAAAAAGAAAATAAATTAATTTAATTTATTTATTTTTATAAATTTGCATGCCACTTAAAACTACACATCAAAGTAAAATTGAATAAATTACGATTATAAATAATTCTAGCTATAAGCTGTGATATTTTGTGTTAAATTGTGATTGATGTGGTAACTATTGTAACTCTCAACTTAAACTATTGCCCTTTATAAACACACGTCCCTTGTATCTATCTTTCTCTATCTATCTCTCCTTCTCTTTTCTTCCTGTCTGTGCTCTCATTTTCTTTGCATCAGTATTGTTCAACTTGATATAAAAATTTACAAAAAAAAAAGCCCACTGGCCCAATGCGCATTTAAACCGTTAACGAACACAAATTCTAATTGGAATACTCGGAACTAATAACTGATAAGAAGAAGCCAGGATATGGCGCCATTTAAGCTCAAGTTTCGCATGGGCAGCTCACGCAGCACGAACACATCGCAAGAACACGATCCGGATCCGACCGTGAACGAGGCACTTTTAGGCGCACAGCAGCAGGAACAGGAACAACAACAGCAGCAGCAACAGCAACAGCAGCAACAGCAACAACAGCAGGCTGTCGGTGCAAGCAGTTCCACCATTGATTCAGTGGATTGCAACAGTCTTGGTTCAATGAGCGAACGGAAGCTGCTGTTGCCATCGAATTCAAGTAAAGCTGCCAATAATACCAACAGTATGCGTATGGGTAAGAATAGGCTAAAAAATACCAAAAACTATAGCCGCTCAATTTTTAAATAATCGCATTATACTACTCACACATATGTACACTGATTATGCCCCACTTTTAAATGTGATTTTGAAGCATGCATGAAGCAATATTTTCTTAATGGCTCATATTTGCATCGAGGCGCTTATTATTTGCCCAACAATTGTTACCCAAACAATTTGAGAATGCTTATTGTTTTCAAATGCACAATGCATGGCGCATTGAAACATGGCACAACAATAAGCTCTGCACACACTCAAAGTATTATTTTTAGAAAAGATTGTTTTCCATTTCATACAAGTGAAAGAATAATTACTATTTTGTTTTAACGTGGAGCTGATTCTTTCGGTACTGGCGTTAATGACTGTTTTTAATTTAGCTTCCTTCAAATTCAAGGCAGCAATAAATAATAAAAAATAAATAAACAAAAATATGTACTCAATTTGAGCCAGCAGTAGTAACAGATCTTGGTTTTTTTGTACTTTAAAAATAACTATTTTAAGTGATTTTCAGTTTGATTTCTGATTTGATTCATCTCAAGGAACAAATTTAAATTTGAAACTGAAACTAATTTGGTTAAAAAGCCGCCGTCAGCCTTCTGTAGAATAGAAAATGTTAATTGACTGATTTATTCATATTATCAACTCACATATCTGATTATTTATTAAAGACTAAGCCCTTGACACAACGTTCACCTCTTTCAAGGCATCGAATATTTAGTTTGAGTGTATGCAGAGCTCGAAATTTGCATGACATCCCTCTGCCGCTTAGCCCAACCACAGCAGCAAAATCAATAATAAATTTATGCAATTTGTATGCTGAAGTTTTCTAAGCCCCCGTTTCGATTATCTTGCAGGCTATGTCAACCCGAGTCGCACACCGTGCATCAGCGCAGCAACAACGGCAGCGGATAGCAACAACGTGCCTACCACCCCGCCGCCTACCTATGAGTATGTCCTAGAGGAGGTAAGTAGAGATGGCTGGAAATAGCAGAAGAGAAACTGATTAGGTTTAACACACACACACATATTTATATATATATATAAATGTATATATACAAATGCAGAACACACGGCTCTCGCAGCACCAGCGGCAGCTGTCGTCGGACAACAGTGCCACGCCCAATCAGAACAGTCGACGCAGCTCGGCGAATAGCTCGAGGCAGAGCGCGGCTCAGTTGAGCGCCGCCCTGGAGCAGCTGACCCTAAATGACAGCAGCAACAATAGCAACTGCAACAGCGACAGCGACAGCAACGAAATTTGCAACGATCCAGATTGCCAGCAGAACTACAACAACGTCGCCAATTGTGGCAGCAACGGCCGCAACAACAACAACAATAGCAACCAGCATAACAACAATAACAACAACAACAACGAGGACGGAGAAGTGGATCAACTGGAGCAGCAGGCCCATCCGTCGCGCATCATCGAGGGCGTCACCGAACTGGAGCTGGAGAACAGCGAAGAGTGCACGCTGAGCGTCAACGAGTTTCTATTGGAATCCGAAATGGCAGCGGCGCGAGCCAACAAGGATAATCTCTATGCCGCCTGCAGCGATGGCCAGCAACAACAGCAGCAGCGTCAGCAGCAGCAGTCATGCACAGATGCCGATTGCACAGAGTGCAGCGAACAGGCGGCTGCCTGTAGACACATTGGCCTAGAATCCGAGGAGGACGGCGAGGAGCCGAGCACCAGCACTGCAGCACGGCACAACTTCTATGATCCGCTGCTGAACCGCTATGGCAACGAGCGTAAGCTCCCATTCATTTGTCGTATCACAATATTCTAACCAAGCTTTGCTCTTCCAGCTGATTGCTCAAATGGCGCCGTATCGGGCAACAATACACAATCCTGCAACGAGGCCTGCTGCGCATCGGGCTCGGGATCCGGCTCTGTTGCCTCTAGAAGCCGTCGTGGACGACGTCAGCAGCAACAACAACAGCAACAACAGCATGAGCAGAACTGCCTGCTTACGCCGGAGATGATGAGCAACAAGACCTCCAAGGAGATCTACAAGGACCTGGCCAAGCAATGGGGCATCACATGCAAAATGTCGGAGAGCTGTCGCTGCATGGACTGCCAGAGTCATTATTTCGATTGCGACTACGATGATGTAAGCATCAATTTATTTACATATATTTCCCATTTCAATCATATTTAATCCCCAATTTGACCCCACTCCATTTCAGAACGAACATCAGAAAACTGATGGCGGCTTGGGCGCTGGCACGCCCATGTTTATTAGCGAGGTAATGCATGGATCTGGCTGTCAGATATTGTAAAGAGTGCGTTTGATTTGTTTTTTGTTTTTTTCTATATCATAAGAAAAGATTGCTGAACAACAAAAATGTTAAATGTAAATGCAAATTGTTTGTTTTCAAGATGGCGCCAAATGAGAGATCAATTAGGCAGAATATTTGAGATGTTTGGCATCAAAGCAACGCAATTCGATGTTTCTTTGCACAAAACGAAGTAGAAGATTAAAATGTTGCACTGCTTAGGCTGAAATATTCAATTGAACAATTATTTATAGCCACAAATGTTGGGCTCTAAAGATTATAGAAATAACTTAAGACGACATCTAAATTCAAAAGCAAGAAAAATCATATATTTTTTTCGATGTAAAAGTATTGAAGTACATTCAATTCGAATCTTTTTACTAAATGCATTTGGTTTTTCTTTTTCCAATTTTCTCGAAAAAAAAGAAGAACACTTTTGAAAACCCACCTTGCAAGACAACATTTATGAATATCCTTGAATGTGTTCCATTTTTCGAGTCATTTAAAAATAGATATATGTATAACTGATTTGAATTTGAACTCAAAAACTTTAACTTCAAAGCCCGAGCTTGTCAAGAGTTTTTCACAGCAATTTTCAAAAGAAAACAAAAAACTAAATGGTCAAATTATGAAGTAAATCTGCTTTATATATAAACATACATATATTGTATCGAAAAAGAGAAGTTTGTATGTATTTTTCTATACGACGATGTGTAGCTGGCAAATCGAAATTGAAATCGAATTAGAAATGCAAAAGTAGGCAACTGCAGCAGGCATTCCCGTGCCCTAGGAACACGTATATATAGCCATAAATATATATACCCAATATGATTATCATTATCAAGAACAAGAAGAAACCAAACTTAACCATAGTTAAGCACTTTTGTGCTGCGACATTAGGATCATATTAATATATACATAAAAAAAAAAAACAAAATTTAAAAATAAAAACTGAACTAGAATTCTGCCTTATCGAGGCGAAACAAAGTTAACTCTTATTACGAATATGCTGATATTTTTTAAACGAAACGCAAATGTTTAGTCTGATATTTTGTATGGTCTCGTTATTCTTCATTATATTTCACTATATACAAATATATATACATATATTATTATTATATATTTGATTATGTTGATGCAGCGTGAAGCATTTAGAACCCTAAACCTAGGCACACACTGATTAAAATACCTTAACTATGTTCCATACTAACTAAGCAAGCGGGTTTCATTCCATTAAATTCAAATCTTAAAAAAAAATGGATTAACAACAAGAAAAGCCAGTTTTACTTGCATTACTCGCACAGAAATCGAACATAAATATATATACATATATAGAAATATGAAAATCGAAAAGAGAAATCGAAAGAAATATTTGTTTATAACTCTTAAAAATGTAAAAGTAAACAAAATCAGAAAGCCCCAAGTCTGTTAGCCGTTAGTTGATATGAATTAGTTAATACTTTGTTTATGTATCAATCGAACTAGACCGACATTAAAGATTTAAAAATTATTATAAAACAAAATATACATGCATAAAAGCGTTCGGCGAACTCAACCCGCTTGAACAAACGAGATTAAATTCCTTTAATGTGGTTCCAAAAAGAAGCGAGAGCTAAATAAGTTGGGTATATAAAGCGTTATATGAAATAGATAAACAATATATATAAGCGCAATTATGTGGTGAAAGTTATATAGATTCTGATATCTGGAACTGGGCAAGGCAGTCTAAGCCTTGAGGAACTTTGAAAGATTGATCTTAGCCAATTTGCTGCTAATTTGTTTATCTAATACTTTTGTTGTAACTCGGAAAATTCACGTGGTTTCGGCGTGAATGAGTATTCTGCCGTTTATAATTAATTATTTAATTATTTGTTTTTATAATTTGGTACAAATATTATAAATTGTATAATATTATAATTATTCATTAATAATATATGAATATTATTTTCTTAAAAATTTTGGTAAGTATTCGAAAGTGATGTACAAATGGTACATATGTATGTATACAGATATTCACAAAAATTTAAGGTACATGCGAGATATAACAAAACAATTAATCGTGATCATTTCACGTTCTTTATGCTGTCCATGTAATTAATGTCCTCCTGGGCTTTCTGAAAAATAATTTCGTAATCAGAATTTTTAGGCGGGCCAGAAAGAAAGAACGAAAAACAAAACATTGGCCTTACATTGCGAAATATTTTTCCGTTATTGGCGCATAGATTTAAGTACCTGCTACTGGGCGAGGTCTCCCATCTTTTACAGTCCGAAGCGGGGTCACCACGCTTATAGACACGTGAGCCGACAATGTTGTTGTAATTGTAGTGGCAGGTCATCAGATAGCAATAGCTGCAACACAAAACAAAAAAAAAAAAAAAACTACAGTAAAAGTGAATGGAATGGAATGTAATGCTCTAACCCTTTTTGCATCGGCTTAAGGCAGTTTCTGGCAACTACAAAGGCGCAGCCCACCCTTGAGACTCGGTCATTGATCATGATGGCAAAGTGGCCAAGGGTTTCACGAAACCTGCAATAACATTTCAGTTAATAGTGCTCGAATTTGAGTTCGCGATTCGGAAATCTACGTTGCAACGTTGTATTTAGTAACAAACGAGATTGGTGGCGAACAGTCCTGATGCTCAACGAACATGGCCCTGAGTGTTGAGTCCAGCAATGTGGTGAGATTGATATGCATTCCGTCTATGAACACCATACTCATATTTTCGCCGATAACTGGAAAACGCTTTACTGCACGGCATATTGTATGCCTGAAGGATAAGGTAGAAACATGCAGACGCGCCATGTACGCCAGCTCCAAATCCCAGATAAGCTCCCGCATACTGCTGGCAGCTGGAAAATTTTCACCATATTTATTTTTCAATTCGCCGGAGGCCACAGAATCGCGAAATTCGTTATGATATGCCAATATACGATCACGTAATCGGTACGTGTCTGGTATGGCTATCACCTGCTTGATGTACTCATTTAATGGTTTCTACACAGATTCGAAAACAAGATGGACTAACAATTTCAATCTTGAATGATCACAGATCCCTCATACCAGCTCCGTGTGTAGGCGACAGATGAAGTGCTTCGATTCGGCCATCGCACAGTAGCCACGGTCATCATTGCAGAAATTGTAGGCGCTGCCTTGCTGCAGAATCAACGGCAGCAGCAAAGCCGGAAGCATCCGTAAGGCAAGAATATTCATTAAAAATTTTGAAAAAAAAATACTTAGTAAATATGTAAATATTAAAAAAAAGAACAATAGAAATTTACGATACTTTACAAATTTGAGTTCTTGGGAATTATTATGTAAGTGAAAAAATATTGAATACAAATGCTAAGATATGATGTTTTTATGTATACCCTGGCAATGGAAATGCCTGCATGTCCGGAAGACTGTCAAATGCTGAGTAGAGTGGATGCTAAAGGGGGGAGTGCAATGTTTAGTGATGCAGCAGCCACTAATTAAAATTTGTAAAGAATTATATTAACCAAAAAATGTTAATAAACGAATTTTGCTACATCAATAAATTGAGATTAAAAAAAATATATTTAAAAATTATGCACATTATGGATGCTTGTTAAATATTTCAATTTTATTTTTTGAAAAATTCAGTGTTTTATTTTTAGTATTTATTGCTGGGTCTTGTAGGAAGATATTTTGCCTATAAATTCATATATTTTGTTTTTGTTTTCTTTGTTTTTTTGCATTAGTGTTCAATATAATTTGTATGTAGTTTGTTTTTAACATTTTCATTTAAATTTTTGTGTTTTGTTTTTTTTTAGTTAGTATTTTAGCAAAGTTGAAAATCGAATTTTGTAACGGTTGATTGTATTCGGTTTTTGCCATTTCTCTTAAATATTTCTTTTCATTTTTCTGCTAATATCAACTGATATAATTTGAACTACATATCGTCTATTTGACGGGGCGCATTAAATTAACAACGAACCAAAATAAATCACTGACTTTTGCTACTTAGTACAACGACTAAACAAAAGGTACATTATATTCCTTCAGTTTTCCATCTTTCGCTTTTATAAAAAAATATGATATTTATTATGTTTTGCTTAAAGGTTTATTTAACATTTTTTGTTCTTAGCAACAATTAACAAACAAATTAAATTTATTCTTGTATTTGTATTGCGTTGGGCGTTGGGTGGGCAAAAACCAAAGATTTTGTGGTGTTATACATATATATATATACACTTGTGTATAGTTTCTGTCTCTCACTCTTATTGCATATAATATTTATTTATTTATTTTCAAGGAGCTGCTAATAAAATAGAAGTTTAAAACGTTTTCAGTACTACTTGTAATTTCATTTTTGCGGATTTTTCCATATTGGTTTAGCTCGTTCAAGTTGAATTGATTATATTGTATAATTAGTAAAGGTATTTATGAAAAGTTAGTCTATTATACAATAAATATATATATATACGCATAATAAATATACTTTGCTTTCCCAATATATATATATATATATAATTATATATATATATATATATAATTGTTGTATATAATAAATGTAATTTGGCATAAACCACAAAATTTACCAAGTTTTTTTTTCTAAGGTTCATTCAGACACACTCTCACGCACCTCTATCCCATAACTACTTATATTTAGTTAGTATTAAATACACACTCACATTCACACTCACACACACATACGTCTTATACCAGGTGTAGGCACATCATTTGCAACAAAAACCGCGACGCCCACAACAAATGGAAACAAATCTACAATCTAATTAAAGCATGTGTACACAAGTCTAATCGAGAACCTAAAATTGTAATCGATAATAATAATGTTCATAATATTACTTATATATAGATAACATATGTGTAATGTATTTAGTTTGTATGCATGTATATATGTACAAAATGCTAGGGATTGTGATTGAAAACGTAGTTGCTATAAGACTAGAGAACTTTCTATAAACATGCACACAGTTTTGCAATGACGAATTTCGTATAAAAAATATATAAGTTTTATATGTAGTTGTATATATCCAAAACTCCTTCCATATATCACTTGCGTGGTGTACAGTTTTCATACATATACATATATAAATATATATAACGGATATATATACATATTCATATTGTTGTATAGCTTAGACACAGGTCGAGGATGCATGAGACACGCTCGCAGCCGCCTCCAGATTAAAGTCCTTACTGCGACAGCACATCTCGCAGATGCGTTTGGTGTCCGGATTTAAAAACGTGCAGAAGCGACAGCTCCACTCATTGGGACTGGTCACAATCAGCTGCGTTGACACAGGCGGCGGATGCTTGGCCACAGCGCCTGTTGCACTGTTCCGTCCGCTGCGGGTGCTACCACCTGGCCGATTGTCTATGGTGGCTGTCTTTAAAGCGGATTTGATTTTCTTGACGCCTGGCGTGCTGCTGTTCGCCGCTGGCGCAGGTGCCGCCGCTTGGACAACACGCGGCTCACGCTTCTTCTCCAGCGTGCGTGATTTCTCCACTGGCCCCGCGGCGGCTGCTTGTGTGTGTGTGTCGGTGGTGCGTCGCTTATCGGAAGATCCACCACCACCACCACCGCCATTGGCCAAAGTGAGCGAATCCAAATCCAAACTCTGCACAAGCAAATCCTCACGATCACCCAAATCCTTGGAGTAGCCAGAACGTTCAAGATTCTTGAACACATAATTCCAGGACTCAAAGCTGCCAACGCCCTCTTGAACCTTAGGCATCAACGGCGGCGATGATGCGTTGCTGAGAACCGTAAAGTCATCCATGCTGGGCGATTCGTAGCTGGTGGTGCCATCGGAGACTTGCAGATCCCGCTCCCGCACATGCTGACGCCCATCTGCGGCGCCGGCGGTCAGACTCATGCGTTCCCTTAATTCCTTGTGCATTGTTTTGCGATTATTGTCCAGCGAATCCTGAAACGGAAGACAAGTTAGAATCGAAAATAAAAATGTTTGCGCTCGTATTTGATTTCTATTTTCATTTACCATCATTGGCTCCCGATGTCTGTCCGTTGATTTGTCGACCGACTCCGCCTGACTGCGTATCCGGCTACTCTTAGGTATGGGCCGGGCATACACATACATGTCCTGTGCCGGCGGCTGGGGCAACGTGGTTGGCAGCAACGCTGGCACCTCGTAGCCCCCGGCATAGCCCATGGACATGACATCCCGTGGCTGGGCATACATGGCGTTACTCAATATGCCATGCTTAGCTGTCTGCGCCCGCTGCCCTCTTCGGTCATAGAGTCGCGGATCATTGAAGTCGTGCTGCATCAGCTGCGCCCGCTCATCAAAGTCAATCAAATGATCCGGCGGATATGTGCTCTGCCTATGCTGCATGGCGGCCAATGCGGCAGCAGTGCTTGGCTGATGTCTGGGCGGTCCACCGTGGTAGCCACAGCTATGGGGCACCGATGTCATTGGCTTGCTGGCTATGCTCGCATACGTATTAACATTGCTCGGCTCCGCATTGGCATAGGTATCCAGGGGCGTGGCGTAGGGCGCATTCAACTGACTGGAGATGTTGTAGGGCAGCGGATAGCGATTGCCCGGCGCATTGTAGGCCCCAGCAACAGCTGCATACGAGGCGCTACTGCCCAAACTGAGCCCATCCAGGCAATCGTACGGCGTCTCATATAAATGTCCGTGCTGCGGATGCAGTGCAGCGCACTCCTTGGGATGTTGATCAAACGAATGACGATGCGGCAACATCGCATGCGGCTCCTGATAGTGCTCCAAGCTGCGCGAATGCGTCATTAAGGCGCCCTGCGGCTGTTGATACATATAATTGAGATTCGTGGGCGGGTTTGGTTGGTGGATGGGCGCATGCAAGGCACAGCTATTCGTATTGCTATTGCTGGGTCCATGCAGCGCACAGGGAGCAGGCGGGGCAGTCAGCTTCTCGGCCGAACAGTTCTCGCAGAGATTAGGCGCTATATTGCTGTAGGTATTCTCAGTATTAAGTTGCTGCTGTTGCTGTTGCTGTTGCCCTTTGCGCAGCCGCTTCTCATGCAGTCTATAGGCCATTTCCTTGATGGTTTGTGTTGGGCCACCCACATGTCTTTCCCGATAGTGAAAGATATCCTGCCAAGTGCAGTTGAAACCCTCGGCGCTCAGTCCCGCATAAATGTGTTTCATTATCTGGCACTCCACATAGGCGGCCATTGCATCGCGACTGACATTTGTCACCTGGTCGGGACAAATGGGACCCTCCAGCACAAACGTGTCCTCGGCAACGCGACGATAGCCCATGGCCAGGAACAGGCGTTCAGCATCGATCAAATTCGCTTCCACCTCATGCTGATACGAACCGGAGTAGGTCTGCAAAGAGAAAGAGAAACTCGATTAGATGTGATAACTCTTGACACTCATATATATATACTGCATGGGCTTACCTTGAGCGTGCGAAATTCCTTGCGCCAGGGCTTGGTGAACAAGTTGTTGGCATATTGACTGATGGCCTCGAAGCCAACAATACCATTCTGTGCGGTGAAATTAGGGAGTTCGAGAACTGTTCTGCGAAGCACATGCCCCGTTTCCGGCAAAAAGAACTTGCGATCATGCGGCACCAGGCTAAGACACTCCTTCAGGCAAGCTATACCAACGATAAACACAATTTAAGTATACTGCAAAGTGAAATTGTTCTCTTTATAGAGAAGGCTCAACTGTTTATTTACTCACCCTCAACCTTTTTTCGTTGCTCCAATTTTTGTGGGCTCTCCTCGGTTTCAAGAAACGTCCAGTGGCGGCTCAGTATCTCTTCCCATAAATCGCCAGGCACAAAATCGGACATTGTGGCGTGGCGTGACATGCAGCAACGCCAAGGACACTCATTCAATGCAACGGATGCTCCTGCAAGCCAAAAAGTGAGAAAAGCCAAGGGAAAACAATGAAAATGTGTGACGAACACAAGTATACGAATATGTAATACTCTAAAATATATATATATATCCATATGAATATATATAAGCACAATTTTAAAAACAGAAATTTATAATTTATTAAAAAAACAAAGTAAAAACTTAAAGCATTTAAAATCTAGCTTAAGAGCGAATCGTCGGAATCTAATCTAATATATATATTGCTCATAGCACAACAAGATTTCTGTTATCAAATGGAATTTAAAAACTAAGTAAATAAAGCAGACAGACAGACAGATAGACAAACATACAGACAGATTTGTTAAAACTGAAATTTCATATATATTTCGTTTTAGTAAATCTGGAATAAATCTTCCACACGTTACAAGTGTCATGACGTAACTTTGATAGCCCCCTCTCTGCCTAACCGTCCGTTCATAAAAATGAATTCAAGGCTGCATCTTCAAATCAAGACTTTTATTGATTTTAAAAGCAAATGCTCTTAACAGCTAACAATTACGAGCAACTGCACATTATATATGTATATCTCTATAAATATATATACATATGTATATATGTATATGCTTGTTGGACTAAAGCCCAATTCAGAGACCCCACTTCAATTGGCCCAGGCGAAATGCAGATTCTGGCATATGAATCACTAGCAAACGTATGGACAGAGAACAAAAATCGCCATCCGGCATGACGCACGTTCAAGCTATCAGAACAAGATACAACAATATAGTATATATATAGATATACATTCATATATATGTACATATATACTTATATATATAACCATATTTATTGTACAACAACAAAAACAATATCAACGAACGCTGATAGAGTAAACAATGGCAACATGTTTGCTAGCTGTTGCCCGCCTTTGACTATGGCAGCCACATCGATAATGACTGTTAGTTAATACTTATCAAGAGACTTTACCAGCACCACCGAGCAACCACTCAACCACCCAACTACTCACCGCAAACCGAGCAGAGGGAAAACAGCTGAGGACCGGCATGTGCAATCTACGATTAGATTCGCTTACCAAACCCAATATCAACAACACCAACGACAGCTTGCTAAATCAATAAAGCGTTTGCTTAATTGTTCTATACATACACATACATATAAATATACATATGTATATATATATAGCTAAGAAGCCGCAATTCGCAATTGGGTTAGCCTGAGTAAATCAATGAATAAATAATTTTATGCCGATTTGGATACAAGCAAAACAGCTTAGCGAATATGTATAATATAATTCACATCAGCAACAAAATCGGGAAGCGGAAAAAAAGAGGGGAGGAGGGGAGGGAATTCCACAGCTTTGACAGCATTGAAAAACCTGAATATTGCAATATTGTTTTAGCAATAATAAATGAATGAAATACTCAAGTTTAAAACGATTTTGAATGTTATTTCTAGAGAGTTTAATGACATTTATATGAAGCTTTGTATTATCCCTATATGTGAATAATTTTATTTTTTTTTCGAGCAGTAGAAGTTCAATGTATTTGTTACTAATAAAAAAAATAATATAAATATATATGTAGTAAGTTTCTCAATTACTAAAGGCATTCAGTCATGTGTCATATGGTTTACAATTAAATTTCTAGGGTATTTGCAGGTGTGTGTATCACTAAAAGCGCTTCAACAGACAAAGCTGCTCAGCTTAGCACAGCTGCTTGAATAGCTGATAACGGTTTTAAAAGTTTATTAGTCACTCGGTAGCAAAAAATAACAACAACAATCTGCATATTTCATTTGCAAATCAGCGACTGGTGTCGACTTGAACTGACGACGGGCGGAAAGGGGGCGGCTGAAGAACCATAAAAGTTGGCGCTGCATTTGCACGGTGACAAATTCAATTTAAAGCGAACGAAATAGAGCGTGACTAGATGAAGAGTGAAGGCTAGACTGGGAGTTGCGAAATACATTGGAGCTTTTAAGCCCTGCTGAAATCTTATTAGCTTCAGCAGCTGTCCTGCAGCAAGAGGGTTTTTTTGCTTCTTGGGGAACTGCTACTGTACTTAACGCATTTTTAATTAAATGAAGCCACAAAGTTGATTGGCAGATAAAATGCCTGTCAAAGTTGGCTGCACATTTAATAAGTCGCTGAGACAAAACAAGAAAAAAGAAAACAATGCAACTTTTAATTTGTATATTTTATGAGGCCAAGCCGAGTGCCGTCAAAGAGCGAAAGAGACAGCGAAAGGGCAATGGTTGCAGCTTGAAACGTGAGATGGGTAAAAAGTAAACAACAACAACAAAAGAGAAAAACTGTAGAAAGTGAACGGTACAAAGCTTGAGCGTATAGGATCGAGTGAGAGAGGTATAGAGTGAGCGCAAACAATCGTCAAAGGTGGAAAGAAAGCACGCACACAGAACAGCACCAGTAGCAGCAGCAGTAGGAGCAACAGCTAACAGCAACTGCAGAAGCAAAGATGGTAACAAAAGCCTTTGAAGTAACACTGTAAAGCCAAGTGAATGCTGCACAAAACGACACCAACAATAAGAAAGAGCCCAAAGACTGCAGCAGTGCTGAACAACGAAGCAAAAAATCAATAAAAACTAAATGAAGTGCAAAACGAGCACAATAACAAAAATATGTAATGAAAAAACACACATACACATGCATACACGCTCTCACAAACAACGGATTGATCAGCTAGCAAGCTTGGAACTCACGAACTGTAAATTTCTCTCTCTTTCTCTCCACTTCTCTTATAATCAAGCTCAGCCTGATCTTTATGTGCGTAAATAAAAAAACTACGCGCCGTATACTCTCAATAAAGTAGGAGTGGGAGACACACAACTAGCAGAAGTTCTAACTGCGCCGTAAACTGTAAACAACACAGCAATATTGTTTTTCTTGTTTCTCAGCATTTCACATGCGAATGCAAATTAACATTAATAAGCAACCCACACATTGACATTGACAGCATTCAGGGTTAATATTGTTGGTATTTGCGTGAAATTTTAAAACATTCCTATTGGAATTACAAATCACTTCAGAGCTCTCAAATTATTGGTCATTTATGGATTTTGACAATTTGACCTAAGCAAATGCATGTGTATATGTGTTCGCTTTACTCACATTTATAAATTGTATTAAAGTATTTTTTCTTTCAATTTTACTGTTGCGAGCATTTGGCGCAACAGTTTAAAGCACTTTTCTTGGCAAGGTGACAAAAATTGCGTGAATATACGTATGTGTATGTGAAAGTGTGTGTGTCAGTGTATGACCCGTTAGTTCGTAGCCGGCAAAGTCTACGGCAGGGTGCTCCAATTCTTATTTTCAGCCCAACACTTGCAGCACTAAATTTAGCAAAGCACACATACTCACACACACATTCACAGCATCACAGAAAAGCGTACACCAGAAAAAATAACCGGAAATAAACTTACAGAAATTCCTCATCGTTGTTATTGTAATTGTTGTTGTTGGCCTGTTTAATAATTTTGTGCATCTGCATCGCTGTTGAAGTTAAACTCACACTAAGCCCCACTAAGGTTGCCGAATAAAGTGCGTGTTTTTTGGCGTGGGTGGTTAAACGTCTATTTTTAGCACACGAGAGTAGCAGAGCAAAGCAAAACGACGTGCGAAACGCGAACAACGAATGAACGGAGGATTGCTTCCGCTTGTTGTTATTGTTTTAACACCAGCTGCACACTTATCGATTCCGTTTGACTTGTAATGATCACTATTCACTTATTCCTTTCAACAACGAAAGCGTGCATCTATTAACTGACGCATTTTCCATTAACTTTAATTTACACTTTGTCACACACATACATTTCGTATTATTATTATTATTATTATGCGCTGCGTTGTGTTCGTGTCATTTTCACAGCAAACTAAACTTGGTTGCTTAACAGCACTGATTTCATGCCAACTCACAGCACTTACACTATCGATTAATTTCAGCTAAGTAATCGATATCTAAGCAGCTAGGGCTGCATTAATAACACGCGCTCTGCTAAAACCGTAAACACGAGATGGATTTTGATCTGGGGTTTGCCGAGGAGCCAAATAACGCAGCGTGGCTAAGTAATCGCTACTTTCCCAGCAAATTAGGCGGCCAACCGGCTTGGCTAGAATTGGACACAATGCCAAGCATAGCACAGCTGCAGTGTAAACAGTGTCACTCACAAAAAGCATTTCTCTGTCAACTCTATGCGGCTTTCGATGATGAGTATAATTTCCATCGCACCATTTACGTTTTTCTCTGCAGGAATGCTGAATGCCAGCAGACTAACAAGGCTGAGTATGTATAGATAAATACTAAAATATGTACGAATTAATATTTTTCTATTATGCCCGCCCAGAAATTTCACAGTGCTGCGTTCACAGCTGCCGTTGAAGAATAAATTCTACTCAGAGGAGGAGCCTTCGGAGGATGGTCAACCTTTGGTGAGAGGAGAGTACCTTTCTTCATGTTAACCCATTCTTATAAATAATCCTCATGCTTGCAGCCGCCTATAGCCAGCTCACGGAAACTTTGCGCCGCTTGTGGCTGCTTAGCTCCGCTTGCTTGCAGCCGGTGCAAAAGCATCAACTACTGCTCCAGCTCCCATCAGCGGGCGCACTGGAAACAACACAAGCCGAGCTGTGCCACTGGACAGTCAGCACATCCCTCTACACCGCTTTCAGAGATTGAATTTCCCCTATACGAAATAGTCATGGAGCGCGAATCAACAAGTGAATCAGCTGTGAAGGACGAGCAGGCTTGCCTGGCCGAGTACGAGGAGCTCTCAGCTAGAGGTCAAACGGGCGAGCTTCGCGATGTAAGCGAAAAGGAGCTGGACAAATACTTTGGCAGTGCTGCTGCAATGGAAGATAAAGCGTTTCAAAGCTTTAAGAAACGAATTGCAGCCGAGCCCGAGCAAATCGTGCGCTACAAACGTCAAGGTGAACCACTGTGGATAGCCAATGTGAAAGACACGATTGAAAGCCAGCTGCAGGAGCTGCCCAACTGCTCGCAATGCGGTGGTCCACGTCAATTCGAGTTCCAGCTAATGCCACAAATGTTGACGCTGCTCAAAGACGAAAACCTGGACTGGGGCGTCCTCGCCATATATACCTGTGCGAGCAGTTGTCCCATCAGCGGCTATGTGGAAGAGCATCTAATTAAACAGGATATAGTGGGACCAGCGGCAGCAGCAGAAGAAGTGGCTTAAGCTCTTTGGGTTACAGTCTCTGCTGTATGTATACAAACCAATTTTATTTTTTTAAAGGACGAAACAAATTGTAAGAAAAGAAAAAGAAATACGGCGACGATCTAAGACAACTAATATGATTACGAATCGATGCTCACTGACTACTTTAGTTTGATAATGGGAAAATAGCTATGCTTGCTGAAATCGAACTCTGGTTGACGCTTCACCTCCTTCTGATGACCACGGGCGAGCACATTCATAACGACGAAATTTGTGCGAGCTATTTGCAGCAGATCCAAAATCTATAAAGAAATATAAGGATCCCAATTAGATAAAATAGTTGAAATCTACTCCAGCTCTTACCTCCTGCTCTGGATTCTGTATGCTCTCCAGTACATTACGTGCCTGATCGAAGTGCTTGGCCGCAAAGCTGTACAGCTCCTCGACGCTGTTGAGCATCATGTGATCTCGTATATTCTTGAACTCAGCATAGGAAACGGGCGGCGGACTGGTCAGCGGCATAAAGGGCGCGAAGCGTCGATTGTAGCGTATCTCCTCATTGTCAAACTTTGACATGGGTAGACGCACGCGCCCGTCTTTGGTTAAAGCGCCCATCGCTTTGTACATGCCGCCGCACAGGCTAAGCAAGGCGTGATAGTAGACAATTTCCTGACGATAGGGACGTTGTTGCTTCTTGTTCTTTTTGGGCTTTGCGGCTTTACGATTCTTGCCGCCTGAACCGCTGTTGCCGCCATTCGATTGAATTCTGCTTTGATGCTCGGCATATTCCTCCTGTGCTAGCAATATATTTTCGGTGCGCGTCAAGGCCGAAACCAGAAATCCGATTAGGAACTCATAGGGATACCAATAGATGTAGAGAAACTCGTGCACGGCATACAGCTCCAGCTCAAAGCCGGACATCAAATAGATGAGCATTGCACGGAAACAGTTGTAGAGCACCCAGGTGGAGAAGTGGGTACTATGTTTCAGCGCCGTTGCGTGCGACTCGTTACCCTCCATGGCACGATCGTTGGCCATCTGATTCATTAGCGAATCCAATCGTGCCGCGTCTACCTGCAGCGGATCGAAGTTCTCTATCAAGTGCGCCAACTTATCGCGCTGTCGAGCACGATTAAAGCCGCAAAGACGAATAAACTGATTGAAGGTTTTCATGTTGATGCAATAGCGAAAGAAGGTTTCCAAATGCTGCTGCACCTTGGGATCGTTGGCCACCGGGTGCTTGGGGTTCAGTACTGGAGGGGAATTAAATGCCTGCACCGAATGCCTCAAGAATTGCTTCATTGACTGTTTGCCATGGGCCAAGAGGATGCTCGAGTTGAAGAGGCTCTGTAGCACGCTGCGTGAGAGAATGCAGTGTCCCGATTTACGGCTGTATTCGATAAAGAAGTTCTAGAAGCAAATAAACAAATGAATATAGATGCCCAAATAGCTCTCTCCTGATTGTTGTTACCAGCGCTGAGTAGTAGTCCTTGTACCTGATCACTTTGCAGGCGTACTTAAAGCGCGCCACCATCTCCTCCAGAAACTGATAGCTGGCGGGACGATCGCGTATTTTGATGCTCCGTGGAAACGTAGGCGGTTGGCTTCTGTCATGTATGCGCGGCGAGAAGCCCATGGGATTGGGTGCCTCAGCTGAAAGTGTTTTAAGGAAATTTCACTCACTATTCACTGTTATAGAGACCCGGATACTTACAACCCTCCACGGGCTGCGTGCCACGATCGATGGTGCGCTTGATGAGCGGCAGCAGCTCGGAAGCCACATTGAGATTTTTATAAATCTCATTGACTGCCTCCTCGGCACTGTCGGCGCCCGCCATCAGCTCCACCTGGTAGATGGCTTGAAATAAATGGCGCATGAAGCGCAATCGATGCACCACAGCCATCAGATTTTGATTCTCAGTCGACGTCAGTTGCTTGCACTTGCGCACCAGCTCATCCTCCACCTCCTTCAATAGACCGGCAATCGTAGAGGGCTGTGCTTTTTCCGCTGCCAGCAGCGCCGAATTGCCATACAATTGAAAGTCCTCTTCCTCGTTAACGGCAGCCAGTATGATGATGTTCTTAATGACCACGATGAGATTACGCACAGCGGTACAGAAGACGCGCAGCGCCTTATCCTGAATCTGTGACGGGGCATGCAGATAGAGGCAGGTGAAGAGCACTTGATCCATTGAGTTGCCCTCCAGCCAAGAGACCAAGCAGGCAAAGAGCGCATCAAAAATGCCAATCAGCTCAGCGGGCTTCAAGCCGTCCAGCTTAATAGCACCCATCTGAAATATAGAGAAGCACTATGCTAAGAATACCTCCACAGACATTTTCCACTCACCGCTACGGCAGCTTCAAAGGAAGGCGGAGGCAAATCAAATTTATCGAAGCCCATGCCCACATCCATCTTCGGATCCATTATCTCTATCGCAGACATAGCCTCAAATAAACCGAACAGCATATCCTGGGCTAGCTCGCCGGGCAATAGCTCGGAACACGCATCGTGGAATTCATCAGTCACGTCCACCCAACCATGTATGGGATATTGTGTAATGTCTTCGGCGGCGCTGCCGCCGCGTATTGCACGTTGTACATCGCTGTCAGCAAATCCACACTCACTCATGCTCCATTCGTCGGGATCGTTGCTATTCTGCTCCCGTTCCATGTCTCGCTGCTCAGCTGTTGTTCGCATTGCGGAGACAGAGGCAGAGGCGGCGGCTGCGGCAGCTGCTGCTGCTGCGGCAGTCGCTGCCTGAAAATCTGTTGGCTGCTCGCTGGCGTAAGTCCCGTGCATTGTCCTCTATCGCCCAGGTGCTTGGCAAATTGTTGCTTCTGTTTATTGCTACTACTTCTTGTGTTATGAATCGTCTAATACTTTTTTCGTGCCGTGCATCTAAGATTTGTGTTAGTGCTGTAAAGCGCAGTGCAGAGCAAGGGGTACTTACCTATGCGCATTTAACAGCACTGTGTTTGCTTGGCGCCAAACACGTTACAAATTCAAAGAATATATAAAAATAAATAAAACTATTGAAAACAGTCCAGAAGCATGCTAATAAAATGTGCTTTCAACTAAAGTGTTTATATATTAGGTAAACACCCTAACACTATTTCGAATGCTATTTTCTCTTTTTCGCAGTCGTGCCCGGCTACTAATATTTTTCTCAGTGTGTAAGACAGTGTTGATAAGGAGCACATCAAATGCATAGCTGTTATCAAATGTTTTTAATAGCACCATAACTTGGCGCCAAACTCGATTCAAATTCAAAGCACATAAACGTTTACAAACTGTCTAAAAGCATGCTATATAAATATTCCAGCTATTAAATTAATTCGCTATAATGTGCATACATATTATTGCATAATCCTTATTGATATTATATTAAATTTGTTGTTTACAAATATATACATATTTATTAGTTTGTACAGTTTATTTAACGAGTATTCTGCCACCTTGAGTAGCAACTTAATCATGTTTCCCATTATAAAAAATGTAATCTCATGCAGCCATTAAGTAATCCATATGAATGAATTGTGAATGCAGCAATATTTTTTTAGCACGTGTCGGTTTAAAATAATAATGCTGACTGCACGAAATATATTTCTGTATGGGTATGATTAATTTCGCTGGCAAGTCATAGTTAACAATATTGCTCCACAATATTTTCGGCTGATAAGAATTTAAAACTGCCTCCAATTACTGCTGAGTATTTATTTGCTCAACCATTGTTATCGCAATCAATTTGTATTTACTCAAATGCCATATGAGAACAGCGACTAGCGCTGCCTTATCAAATGCCCTCAACTGTTATCGGTCGCGCTCCAATTTGAGTGGAAAGTGGAAAAGCTCGCTCAGAGCCTTGTCTGGCTCTCGCTCTCGCACGCACGCTCTCTCTCTTTCTCTCTCGCATCAACAGCGCGCTTTAGTGTGTCTCCACAATTTGGGGGTTGGCCGTGAGTTGAGTGCTTCGAATGCCCAAATAACGGCAGAATTGAGTGGCGCAAAAGCATTTCACCAATGCGAGGGGTTGTATTAGTTTGTTTACAACAATTCAGTTTCAGTATCAAATGCGTTGCCCTCGTGGTTAAAGCGCGCTAACGGTCAACTGCTTTAAAACAAAATTCAAAGCAAAATAATAAAGAGAAACGCACACACTTTATATCGCACAGGGCGCACAAATTTGAAAGAAACACGACACAACCAAACATAAACGTAAATCAAACACGAAGTGCCAAGTTCCTCAACTACTAACTGCTCGAGTTGACTTCAAGGAAGCAGCCGACCCGATTTATTAGCCAACGCGTAAGTCTGTTAACCCACTTCCAATAATATGTTTTTAATTTATGTATATGGCTCATAAGGCAAATGTTCTTTTGTTGCTTTGACTTTTTTTTTTTTTTTTTTTTTTTAACTGTACTTTGTGTTTTACAATTTATTGCCATGTGTTTAGCTGTCGGTATTGCTTTGACAAGTTCGAAAACAAAACAAAAATCAAAACCCCAAAGAAAAATAAACAAAATCATATATATGTATATATTCAAAGGCAAAAGAAAATAAAAATACCCGTAGCACAACTTGATTAAATACGGCAAGAAACAAAAATTACGAGACTTTTTGGCAAGCGACCAAATCAAATTATAAAAAAATTGTCTGACCCTATAAATACTATATATGTGTATATATATATTTATATATAAATATACAGCAGCGACTGAACCAGAACAAAATACTATATAAATTTTCACTTAAGCATATGCCACACATTAAATAGTTATAATATATGCTAATTCTTTATAGTTTTATCGCTTGCCCGTCTAGACCCAAGCTTTTTTCGAAAATATGTCGAAAATTTATTGTTTCAAAATTTTTGAGATATTTTAAAGTGCTTGACCTGAAGAAACATGTTTGTTTTTGTTCAGAATGCTTAAGTAAATAAACTTTGTTTTTAAAAAAATAAAAAAATATATAATAATATAAACATATATTATTTTCATATTTTAAAAGTAAAATCTTTACAGTACAATAAAGATTCTATGTTTTTTTCTTTTAGCTGGTAGAACAGTTGTTAAAATTATTTATTAATTGACCCTAAGTTAATGAAAGTAATTTAAAGAGCAAATCCCTCAATATTCTGTGATTAAAGCTTGCATTTATCTCTTATATGCGAAAAAAAATAAAACAACTTCCTTTATAATATAAATGCAAGCGTATAACAAATTCCAACGACATTCCAAAGTGTTCGCCTCCCCCAAAAAATAAGAAAAATATGTCCAAGCCGTTGAGAAATTGATGTTATCTTTTGAATTATACAAAAAAAAAAAAAAAAAAAAAAAAAAAATACTTATTTGATATTTAAATAATATATTATTTTAATATAAAGTAACATAATCAAATATAACATATATTATTATAATATAATATATAATATAATAATAAATACGACAGGTAAATTTGCGAGTTTAAACTTCTTTATTATCAAATAAATTTTTATGAAAATGTTTTAATTTATTTAAATATTTTACTGACAATGTTATTCACTTTATTATTTATATACATTAAGTTCTTCAGTAGACAGAGCTCTCTTAATCTTATCTAAGCAACTTTGTACAGGTCATGCAATCATTCTAGGCTATCTATATTTATTAAAACTGATAAGCAATTAGATGTTTGTTCGTTTTCCAAGTATTATATTGATTATAGTATATAAAGGGAGATAGCAGTACTTCAAGTTGGACAATTGGAAAATCCCAACAAGCGATTGAAATTTCAGATATAAAATTTCAATTTTCGAAGTGAATTGCTGAAGAGTGTGTCAGGGAAATCGTGACAATTGACCAAATTAGAGATGTGGAGCACGCAGCCGGACGATTTGTAGGTACACAGGATAACACATAGAGGACCTATAGAATGTCACGACTACAAAATGTCGAAAAGACCACAGCAACCAGGCAAAAACTCAGCACGTACGCGATAAAAGCAATGAAAATCCAACTCATGTAGACAACATACAAAGCAAATAGAAATGAGAAATGGGAAAAGGGCGAAAGGAAAATCAGAGCAAAAACTTACACATGGAATTTATTTCAATTGATTGGAGCAAAACTCCCCCCAACGCTGACAAAGAAGGAATTCCAAGAAATCAGGACCAGGGCAGGGACCAAGTCGACGTTCCTCTTAGCCGCCGCCATTGCTTGGGGCCGCATTTAAGTTACGTATACGCCCCCTAAAGCCCAACTGATGCGGGGGCGAGAAAAACTTACACATGGCATTTATATCAATTGCAAACAAACACAAAGAGGGAGCGGACCAAACTCTTGCTAAAGAGTAAATTCCAGTTGCTCCAGCAAGACACCAAGTCCAGCCGTATATTAAAGTTGCGTATACGCCCCCAGAGCCCCACTGATTTCTCTTAGTCAACTCTTGCGATGGTCCCCGCGTTGACCTTCCCTAGAGCTCTGCCCGCCTTCTTTTATATGCTACTCTTTTTGTATCGATTTGATTGGATTTCGTGTTACGAGTTTGTTGTGTTTAACACGCTTCAATAAAGTTCAGCCAAGGGGGAGAGCAAAAAAAAAAAAAAGAAAAGAAAAAGAAAAAGTAAGCTGAATGCCTGTGCCTTAATACGCTGCCCCATTTCCTTCCTTCCGCCGTGGCTCTGCGGCTTGGTCTACTTAATTGAATTCAAATGGATGACAGATGAGAAGGTCATGTGTGTAAGGGTTGTATGTGTGAGTGTGTGTGTGTGTGCATGTGTATGTGTGCGAGCATCAAATAAAATGCAGAGCCGGACAATTGGCAAATACTATTAGTTCGGGTCGAAGGATTCAGACATGATTAGCTGAACTTAGCAAGAGAAATTGGAAAATAATATGGCCAATGTATATAGAATATATGGATTTTTACGAGGAAATAAATCAGAGAGCAGTATTTCGTTTACATACCACCCTAGATAGGAGACTACCAGCTACCAGTTAATTCTATTATTATTATATTATTCTATTTTAGTATCAGAAACAGCTTTGTATGCAATTCTCATTATTTTGATAGGTTTATTTATTATTTGATGGACCTTTAGAGCTGTTGCAGTGAACCGCTAGACAGAGGTATAGTGGACGGTAGAATGAGAAGAGTCAGAAGGCGAGAGAGAGAGAGAGAGAGAGAGAGAGAGAGAGAGAGAGAGAGAGAGAGAGGGAGAGAGAGAGAGAGAGAGAGAGAGAGAGAGAGAGAGAGAGAGAGAGAGAGAGAGGGGGGGAGAGAAAGAGAGAGAGAGAGAAAGAGAGAGACAGAGAGAGAGAAAAAGAGAGAGAGAGTGAGTGAGCCAATGTGGGAATGACAGTAAACGACATTAGGGGAAAACAATAAAAGGGACATGTTGGGAGAGAAAGACAGGGACAGAGAGAGAGACAGTAAAAATCTCACACAAAAGGAAAAACATATGCGAATAGTAAAGCAGATAGATCGAGAGGGAGAGGATAGAGTCTCTGCAAGAGAGAGAGAGAGAGAGAGGGAGATACAAAGAAAGAGAGAACGAAAAAGACAATAAGAGAACAGAAGAAAGAGATGAAGAGGAGGGAAAATAAATAAGTAATAATGAAAATAAATAGGGAAAACTTGGGAAATATAAGAGCTTAATCAAGATCATGTATTAAAAAGCATTACCAAAGTTGCCTAAAACGTAAACTACTTCTAAACACAAGTATTAAATCAACATTGACTTAAAGTTGCATTCCCACAAAAAGTTGTTGAATAGAGGAGCACAGAGTACAGAGCTGCCTTTTGAATAATGGTTTCTGCTGGATAAAATATACGCGCGCAGTCGACCAAAAGGCAGCTGAATGGAAAAACCATTTTTCATGCAATTAAATAAATGAGTGCGCACATATACATGCATATATATGTATGTATGTATGTCTATTGGATTGTGGGTTTCTGGATTGGGGTTTGTGTGGAGAGGGAAGTGGGAAAATGTTCACTTTTCGTTAGCCTAATGAGTCTAGAAGGCAAAAGTAAAAGCGATTTAATCCAAATGCTAAGCGCCCGACGCGCACAAACCAATTAAGTTGAAATGTTCGCCTCGATGATGCTTCAGTAAACAAAGGCAAAGACTGTCCTGGCTGTCTGAATGAGCGAGGACCCGCCCACGCCTCCCACTCCCCACTCCGTTGTAGATAGAATCATAACAATGACAATAAAAACACATCAAAATCAATCTGTCAACAAAGCTGTTTCCCACTCTCTCTCGCTATCTCCCTCTGTCTCTCCTTGTCACTCGAAGTCTTTGTCAAGTGCTGTCAGCCGAAGGACTTTTAACAGCCACGAGGGGGCGTGACTCCCTTAGCGAACGGCAACTGTAGTCGAGACCCTTGACTCATTGAATCTTTCAAGCATTTAAATGCAAAATGTACTTTGACTTGAGTCTATATAGATGCCATTATCATTAGCACACCGTCAGCAGCAAGAATAAAATAAATAAACAACAGCAGAGCATCGTCAGCATCAGCTGCGTCAAAGGAAACAGCATGCCGGATCTCATTTTATTACAAGAGGAAAGGCAAACAGCAAAATGGCGCCAACATTGTGTCAGGGCTTAACGCCGAGCGGGAGTGAGCGAGAAAGAGAGAGAGAGAGAGGGAGAGAGAACTGGCAGCTATGGCAGCCCTTAGGCAACGCAGCTTGTTGCTACTGCACTCCAGCCAGGCGGCAAACACCATAATGATAATCATGATGATGATGATGATGATGATGCTGTGCGGCAGCTGCCGAGCTGGCTTCCTGCCAACAATTTAGTTTGCTGTCTGTTTGCTTTTCATTCAACGGCTGAACTGGATGTGGCGCGGCGCTGGGCGGCGCAACGGGGCGTATGCGTATTGTTCCGTGCCAGGCATGCCGCAGGGGCTGCCAGATTAGCTGTGTGTGCTGTCGCAACAACAACAGCAACAGCAACATCAACAGCAACAACAACAGCAACAGATTTCAGCTCTGCTGCAGTGTGCAGCATATGTAAGGAATTATCTTGCATTTTGCAGCATTTCATTTTAATTGAGCTTTAAGCTCTTCCACTCCCATTTGCCACTTTGCACTAGTTTTGTTTCGTTTTATCCCCACTGCTTCTGTAACATTTCCATTTGCATTTTAAGTCCCATTTGGTTATTTTTTTGCCACTAAATGCAAATGCGACAATGAATACGTCGTGCAGATGCCGCACAAAATTTATGCAATTTATGCAGTGTGTGTTAAACGATATTTATAGAGTTGTATATCTATCTCGCTCTGACTCTCTCTCTCATCGGGATGATCCAATA